GGACCCCTACTTACAAACGGGGTGAGGCAACCCCGTACTAGCTGCTTCCCTCCAGCAGACCAGGGAGACGCGAAGCTAGAGCCTCCCCCCTCCCCCCCCAGCAGACCAGGGAGATGCGGAGCAGCTTTTCTCAGCAGAGACCTCAGCTTGAGAATAAAGGACTGAGGGAAGTGAGGTGTGGGAGAATAAAACTGAGCTCTGGAGAAATGTTTGGCTAGAGTTTCCCCTACAATATGTACTAGTTCCAACTTACATACAAATTCAACTTAAGAACAAACCTACAGTCCCTATCTTGTACGTAACCCAGGGACTGCCTGTAGTCTGGACATACCCTAGGAGGCATTAACAGGAGTGTTGTGAGCAAGACACGAGAAGTAATTCTTCTGCTCTGCTCTGTGCTGATTAGGCCTTAGTTGGAGTACTGTCTACAGTTGAGGGCACTACATTTCAGGAAAGTTGTGAAGAAATTGGAGAAGGTCCAGAAAAGAGCAAGAAAAATGATTAAAGGTCTAGAGAACATGAGCTCTGAGGGAAGGCTGAAAGAACTGGTGGGCTACGCCTACATTGAGCATTCTTGCGCAAGAAGATATGTAAATGAGGCGTGGCAATGAATATCGCTGTGCCTCATTTGCATACCTAATGAGCCACCATTTTGCGCAAGGGACTTTTGTGCAAGAAGGAGCAGTCTACACTGCTCCTTTTTGTGCAAACCCCCCCCTCTTGCGCAAGAGCCGTTCTGCCACTTATTTTCAGGCAGCACGGCTCTTACACAAGAAGGGGGTGTTTGCACAAAAAGGTGCAGTGTAGACTGCTCCTTCTTGCACAAAAGTCCCTTGCGCAAAATGGTGGCTCATTAGGTATGCAAATGAGGCATGGTGATATTCATCGCCGTGCTTCATTTTCATATCTTCTTGTGCAAGAATACACAATCTAGATGTAGCCGTGTTGTTTAGTCTGGAAAAGAGAAGATGAGAGGTGACATAATAGCTTTCAAGTACCTAAAAGATGGTTACAAGGAAGACGGAGAAAAATTGTTCTCCTTGGCCTCTGAGGACAGGACAAGAAGCAATGGGCTTAAACTGCAGCAAGGGAGGTTTAGGTTGGACATTAGGAAAAATTTCCTAACTGTCAGGGTGGTTAAACACTGGAATAAATTGCCTAGGGAGATTGTGAAGATATTTAAGAGCAGGCTGGATAGACACCTGTCAGGGATAATCTAGATCAGTGGTCCCCAACCTTTTGGGGCTGCCGGGCGCCCGGGGACGGGGCCGCTCACGCGCCAGGCACCCTGGGGTGGGGTCTCACAGGGCATTACAAGGAGGAGAGAAAAATTGTTCTTTTTGGCCTCTGAGGATAGGACAAGAAGCAATGGGCTTAACTTGCAGCAAGGGAGATTTAGGTTGGACATTAGGAAAAATTTCCTAACTGTCTGGGTGGTTAAACACTGGAATAAATTGCCTAGGGAGGTTGTGGAATCTCCATCACTGGAGATAAATTTAAGAGTACATTGGACAGGCACCAGTCAGGGATTGGATCTAGATGGTGCTTGATCCTGCCGTCAGGGCAGGGGATGGGACTCAATGACCTCTTGAGGTCCCTTTCAGTTCTAGTGTTCTATGATTCTATGATTCCATGATTCTATGTTTCTGTCCAGTTCATGGTGACAGAGAAAACCAGTGGGATGTGTCAGAGAGAACAGTTGTTTATGGAAAGTCTCCCCTTTGGTTTTGGTAGCAAGAAATCAACAGGAAACTCTTAAGTTCAAAAGAGAGCACAATGGTCCGCCTGTACTCATGGAGACAGAGTATTTGTCAAAGAAAAGGCCATACAATATATGCTCAGGCTCATAAGGATCTACCATATGTACCATGGGCAAAGCTCACAGCTGACAGCTGCAGTTCAGTTAAAGTCAACCCAATCAGGCCTGCTTACACCAGCAATGTATTTGGCCCTGTCATGCCCACCTTAGAAAATAAAGCTGTTGACACTGAAGGCTGCAATGTACTGGGGCTTAACCTACCAAGCTTGCTATTTTAAATGCAACTCCAGTGCTATGCTTTGTACCAGATCCATCACCTTTGAAGTGCCAACCTTTCATTGGACTTCAAAGCATGCCCCATCTGTAAATCGGCGAGGATATTCATATTACCTATCTTGCACAGGGAGAGGGATTGTGAGGATTAATTAATGTTTTAAGCACTTTGAGATTCTAGGTTGTCATCAAGGCAGAAGGGAAATTATTTAATTATATAAATCACACATGTGACTGGACTGCTGTTTTCTTCATCTGATGAGAACCCCATAGACAAACTGGATCGGCGTTAGGAATATAATTCTGGGAAATAGCAGTTTAAAATGCAGATTGGCCTTTAAAGATTAGAATACAAATAGCTGAGAAACCAGTGTAACAGGTTAGGCTGTACAGTAAATTTATATTAACAGTGGGTTAGATGAGATGCTGTACATATTTATTTAATTGGAGAGCTAGTTCCAGGTGATCCTAGTATAATCACAATTATTACCAGGAGGAAAAAAACTAGTCGTGTTGATTTGAATGGATTTTTATTACATTGTGTTCTATTGCCACACTAGCTTTCTATATTCTTCCAAATGCTACTGCCGCTCTGTTCTGTATTTATCTTCCTTATTTGTCCTTGGAAATTTTAGATTTCCAGGGGTGTGTGTGTTTCTGTGTGTGTGTGTGTGTGTGTGTGTGTGTGTGTGTGTGTGAGAGAGAGATTGAAGTGGAGATTGTGATGGTGCTATCAATACAGCAAAGTCTGCATTATTAACAGCCAAGTATCACATTGAACCTGTAGCTTCTCCACCCACGGCAGAAACGGGCTAGAATTTCTTAATTCAATCCCAAGCCATTTGCCTTGCAATAGGAAGCACTGAGCATCTGCAGGGAACCCAACTTGCAGTTGCTGAGCTCCCACCAGACTGGCATGAAACTTAAATGCCACCCTTCTATGAACATTACGAGGGGAGTGGCAAGGGGGTGGGTGTCGCAATGCAGGCACCGTGAAAGGACACTCCAAGGGGCAGCCGACTGGGCAGATGGCCACACCACAAAGCCAGCCTCCCCATTGACCTCAGCTGGCCCCCTCACTGGCTGGGCAGGCACAGAGCCCACTGGCTTCTTCTTAGATCAGGGGTGAGGGCCCTGGATGGGGAAGAATGAGGAAGCTGGCACTGGAGCAGTGCTGGGGAGAAAGACAGTGAGTCCGACCCCAGAGCTGTCCGCACAGCACTGTCACCAACACTGAACTCACTTACATGTATCTTAAAGATGACATTAAATTCGAGGGCCAAATGATCCACCCTAATCGATCCCCTGGGAATTCAGGGAGGTTACCCCAGGGATGAACGTACCCCCCACACAGGAGCAGCTGGCATTCTACCTTATGCTGCAGAAAGTGCCATGACTGGCTGGTGGAAGGTTGGCGGCAGAGCTGGCATGATTATTTGCAGAGCCGAGTTTGGACTTGCTGACTGGCCGGCGTGGTCCGAGCCTTGACAAGGACACAAGCCCAGGCACTGGCCGGGGGCGGCCCGGAAC